CATCCACTTGCACTGTCAGAAGACATACTCGGGCTTCTATACCAAAATCAGCCCTTACTTGCAACCTCCTTACTGATCCACCACACCTAAAAGCCAAAGAGCAGGGATCCAGTGTGTGTCATCTTCCTTTTTACAGTCCATCTCAGTCCTGCTCTGAGTGGGTGTTGCTGGATGGACATCAAGCCGATTAAGGTCCCCCTTCAGACAGGTGAGGCCTTTAAGTACAGGCCAGCCACTGTTATCTGATTTCAGCTGTCAGAAAGCTGTCTCTTTGATTCTCTATTGGGTCTCTTAAACAGCGCTCAATTGCTCTCTTGCTTGGCTATTGATTGTCAAGCGGTCATCCTTTGTCCATCACTGACTAAGAGCAGCCAAAAAGACCCATTTTGAACAGGAGCACGGAGATGACAGAAGTCACATAAAGGTAATTCTTTCTCCTTCAATGATGGATCTTATTGATTGTTACAAGCCAGGACAGAGAAGCACTAGAAAGAGAACCCTTCCTTAAAGCGCTGAGTGAACCATACTGAACTACACTGCTACCTTTGGGGCAGCACTGATAATATACTGAAAGCAAAATACATCAAGCCAAACTACAAGGAATTATGTTAGTGGAGACCTTTGTAACTGATGCCTTTTAATAGTTTTACACCAAAATGAGTCACTGAACGTGAAAAATGTTACTATTACAACATTTCAAGCTGCGCAATGGTTGATAATTAGTTAAAAGAACCAAACAGAAACCAAGTGTCAAAATATGAAATATGCAGATTTTCCCAAAATGAATTTTGTATTGTGTCTCTGCAATTAAAAAGCAAAACACAGTGGCAAGCCTGAAACATACAATGAGAACAATTACTAATTAGCATGATGCAACCTTGCACAGTGAACCTTTAACAAAGGGACAAAAGCCAGAACAAGGTTTTCTCATGTACGCCACAGAAAGAGAAATGGTTACCTGCACCTCTACTCATGTGACTTCCCTTATCCCATTGCCCATGTTACTCACTGCATCCAGATGGTGGCAGGACATATGTAAATTGCCTCATTAACCTTACAGCACTTAAGTACTGGGCTGCGCTGATAGTTCGGCCCACACAGACATTTTTTATTAAAGCACATTAATAGCATAAGGCAGCAGTCACCGCTGCCTGAGGAGGTTTGCTCTGGCACTATCAAACACCGCAATAATTATACACGACAACCTCCTGATTAATACATTCATGAATATTACAACAATGCATTATCTTCTGTTTTTTCCTCTCTTTTTTTGGTCACAAACGCTTTTACAAATAATTCCAACCTCGGGGGTGAAGTGGAGAATTAAGTGGGTGCTGGCCCCCTTTTCAATGGTTTTAACCCTTCCCTGCCCAGATATGCACCCCTACATAGAACCACAATAGCACATGAAGTGAAATGTGGGAAGGCTTCATGTCGTCACGCCATGTTACCCTGAGCCCTCTAGAGTGTGAGTGTGTGTGTGTGTGTGTGTGTGTGTGTGTGGGTGAACTTGCTAGAGAAGAGACCTGCACCTGGAGCAAAGAGGGGCACAGCATAGGTCAAAGTTCACAGCTCACACGGGACACTGACTAAATAGGCCTGCGCTCCTTCCCCGTCTGAAAGGTCCAGACAACCCCTGCGGCGACCATGCATAACATGGGCCTTTTCGCCTTTCTTTTCTCTCTGTCTTTCTCCCCCTCTCTCTCCCTCTGCTTTCTTTCTCTAATCCATAACCACTCAAACGGCCAGCAGCTCAATTATGCTCCCGTTCCGCCATTTTCTCTTGCTAGATAAAGATTCAAAAACAATTAACCTCATCTGAGCCAGATTTTTTCTCAGGGAGCAAAAACGAATAAGTCAGGAAACATTCCGTTCAATTTCCTTGCCAAAACTTAGTAAACAAATGTTATGACAAAAACACAATTTGTAGGCTAATTTTTTTCAGTCTGTAGCTGTATATTGTTAGCTTTAGACATTTACACATTTTATATCAAAATAGTGTTATTCTGGGTTGTAGGACTTGCAGGGGAAGACGATAAACTGTCACCAGGATGACTCAGGATGTCATTGTAGGTCATAATATTTTTTCAAAAAATGTATTTTTCCAGGAGGAGCTATTAGGCGTGGTCATGCCATTTCCTTTTTTCTTCTCTCCTGCTGAATCAGTTCACTGCAGCAGAACACGCAAACTCAATGCATATGAAGGCACACACTAATTTTACACTACCACCTTACATATTTATTGCATGAAGCAGCATGTAAAACTTCCAAATAAGCATGTACACACTTGTACATGCATGAAACCTAGAATGTCACATCAAATGAGACCTACACAATAAACAAATAAGATATTTTCCCCTTTTCAAAAAAACAGGTGGCCCTTGGTATACAAGGGGGTGATGCTGGGGAAAGCTCCAGCCCACAGCCGCTTGCTTTGAGCCAATAATACACCTCAGTTCTCCGTGCGTGGCCGTTTTGACTCTGTAGACTTCTCTGGCCCTTCAGCCCTCAATAAACACTCCTCCTGCGAGCCAGGGCTTCAGTGGGCCTCCTATTCATTGGCAGGTAGAATGCCTCAAAGAACGTGCGAGAGCAGAGGAAAAAAACAGCTTGTTGCTTCTATTGAACCTTTTATTACGCTCCTTCAAAGGCTTATGGCAGAGGAGGAGAGAGGGGAAAAAAGGGATCTGTCGTCCTCTTGGTGCTATTACACTACAGAATGTCTGCTCTCAGCTTCCTCGTGAAAACAAGGCTAGACTTCAACTGAGACAGTGTACATAACTCTCACATTCACGCATAGGAGGAAATTTAGTAGGCTGGATGTGAATTTTGAAGGAAAAAAGTAAAAAATAAATAAAGTGAATAAAAACAACAACAAAAAAAAACAAATTAGAGGACAAATGTATGTGTAAACATTTTTGACAAGAGCACTGAAAAAAAGCGTGAAAACAGATCATTTAACTAAGTATGCAGATTACTACCTCTTATATATAAATGTAGTCTTTATCAGCAGCACAAAAGATGTGGGGGCAAAAACCTTGAGAGGGATTATGAGAGTATTGTCTGCCACTGTGAGCGAAGAGGGCCTCTTTTTCAGCTGCTACACCAAACGCTTCATGTCACGCCACATGTACAAACACTAAGCCTTAACGTTATGTTCCTTCTTTCTCTTTCTCTGTAAGTCATAGCAGAAATGAAACATGGTTAACATCTAATATAACAAACCATACTCGCAGGTTCAATTTATCTATAACCCTCACCCCTAAAAATACATTAAAATCATAAAATTAAAAAATATCGCAGGAGCTGAAAAATCAACTGTGTTCTAAAGATCAAGTGAAAAGGAGGTGCTGTAGTAGAATGCAGCTGGCGTGATCAAGGCTCAAAACCGGCACGCTTCTATACTTGCCTTGGGGAGGAATCTACCTTGCACTCGGCCAAATATGCTCTTCACTGCAGGACAAACGGAAGCCTGTGCTGCATGGAAGTCCCACTGCATGCAAGAGAAACTGTAACTGCTGCTCAGCAATTTTTGTAGGTGCATGCTAAAATTTGCACGACGGAAAAAAAAAAATCTCTCCCTCACACACGAAAGAAGACAGTGTTGCCTTTCATGTTTCCATGGGGTGTGTGTGTGTGTTGTGTTTGCATGTGCATATAAGGGGGAAAATCTCCCCCCCAGTCACATAAGGAGACAGTTGTCCATGTTTCCTTCTGTGTGTGGGGGACACTCCATCCTCCCTGGTTTAACATACCGGTGAACTTGGCCCCAGCAAACACTGCGTGCTACTCCTTGATTGTACAGTAGAAGAGACGCAGGGAGCAAGAGAGGGAAAAAGGGTGAAGAAGAAGAAGAAGAGATGGAGGAGGAAAAAAAGAACAGGCAGCAGTCCAGACTGACTGGGACTCTGTTGATCATTATGTCTAGCCTTCAGGTGTCTGTGCTGGCTGCTTTTTGGGGGAGGTGTGGTTAGCAAAGGAGGCAGACAAAGAAGGTGTAGTACATCAGCAGAGACAGAGAGAGAGAGAGAGAGAGAGAGAGGAAAAAAAGAGAGAAAAATGCTATAAAAATTTGATTAGGCGATCTTCTACTGAAGTGACTTTCTATGTTCTGTGGCTTTTTTCTTTTTCCAGAGCATCGCCCCAGAGAGCGGGACAAGACTGCCTTCTTTTTTTTTTTTGGCAGTTCCTAATTAAAAACATCTGAAGACTCTCAAACATCAAAAGCTATTGTTAAAGTCTGGTAGTACTGTCATCCTGAAAATAAATAACTCTTTTATTCACCCTTTTTCTTACCATAATTCCAACCATAAAATAAATATGAACAGAAAAGTGCACATGTATAATACATTGAGGAGCATGTACATGAAAAGCAGAGATGGAAAGGCTCAAGAAACCTCAGGCTGACGTGGGTCAAGATGTCACGGCTTACTGTCCTGCGCCTAGACGTTTAACAAATGTACGAACATTTTTTTTAAAGACTTTAGTTCCACACTCCAAATGTAATGATCAAAATAATGACCTGAACCTAAAGCATTTCAACCTCGCTCGCACGGCTAATTACAGTAAGTCAGCCGTGTTAGCCGGACTGGAAGCTCCAACCTCACCGAGCCCCGCACCTTCCTAACGGGTCAGCGGGTTTGTGGTGCCCTACACTGACACAAAAACGTTTTATACCGCTAACGTTGATTTACAACACCAGGGCGAAGGCGGTCGGTGTTAAGAAGACAGAAACTGAGGTAAAAGTACGTTAGCGTGTATAACTTAACCTATACGCTAATTAACTACGTTAGCCTAGCGCGAATAATTCATTTTTTAACCGCCACATTCCGGTTTTAAACAGGCTGTTAAAGGCGTAAGTTAACTCACACAACACAAACACGTCAGTCAAAATGGATAATGTCATGAAAGTGATACTTAAATAAAGGTGTTACCTAAAACAATTTTCACACTCACAGTCTGAAGAGAAAAAATAACACAAAAGTGATTTCAATACTAACCGTCGTTTGCGCACGCGACGCCGTCGTCAGGGCGAGTCCTCAAGCACCACGAACGCTCTGGAAAGTCCGTTTGGTCATAGTAAAACCGACGAGAAGGCGACACCGCAGCGTTTCGTTTCGCTTGGGACTAAGAAAGAAAGTTCGTGAGGACTGCTGGACCCGCCAGGCGCCGGTAACGCTACGTTCCACGTCCCACAGCTGCGACCGAACCCTCACTGACACTTCGCCGCTTTCCTGCGCTTCACCGAGTGAGCGCGGTGGGAAAGAGACGAGAGGGAGACCGGCCGTCACGTGACCCGTGGAGAGCGACACGATTGGTCGAGCGAGCATAAATCGATAAGGCTTGTCTTTGTTCCATTGGATCCTCACCTCGCAGGCGAGCGGACTGGTGTGCAAGAATGTGTGAGAAAGAAAATTGTTCACTTTGCTTTCTTCCTTTTTTTTTTGCTTTTTTAATCCGAGAGGAACCACGTTAAAGATTTTGCGATGCCGGATGTTTAAAGGTGCTTCTCTGGTAACGTAATGTGCGTAAATCGAACAAAATGTTTAATTTGAAAGGAAGAAATGCACAAAATGCGTTTTCTTATTAGTACTCTTGAAGTTCTTGTCGTCTCTAAAATGCTTCGTAAATGTAAAAAAAGTACATTTAAAATATACATGTATACATATACATAAGACATGCATATGCATACGTATACAGTAGACTCACTGTACATCTCATTTACCAGAAGCCATCATTGCATTTCCTTTCCAGATAAAAGCCTGGGCCTGTGTTTATCAAGCTTCTCAGACTAGTAGTGCTGATCTAGGATCTGTTCCTGTCAGTAAGATCATCTTAAATAAATAAATTTTAAAAAATATGGTCCTAGATCAGCAGTACTACTCTAAGAAGCTTGACTAATACAGTTCCAGGTTTGTCTACACTGCATCAGCCAATAAGCACACTAATGCCCAGAATTACTAAGTATAGATTGTGCTTTTCTGAGAAATCCTTGTGGAAATACAATGCTTTTTTCATTCCGGGGGGTTTAGGGATATGTTACTGTTCTTTTTCATCAGCAGTATTTTTTGTACTTGACAATGGAATGTGTTAAGTAAAGTAAAAAAAAAAATCAATATAATGGTTTAAAGAATGACTACACATTGAATTGAATCTCCATTGAATGTGAAAGACAGCTATACTACTTACCTAGCATGTGCTGAGGCCAACATTTGGCTTAGATGGCTGGAGTAGAGAGGATAAAATCTCTCTTGGTCTGACAAATCTTTCAGCTTTTTGCCATGTTACTGTAGTTTCATCATGAGTTTCATACCAGCACCTTGCATATTTGGATGAAAACAAGACGTGAAAATCCTGCCTTTACTGGCACCTTATGCTAATTGAATGGCTGAGTAAAAGCTACCTCTTTTCAGTGAAAAGTGATGAGGAACTGTGATAGCACAACATAAAATCAGCTCCAGTGATTGCTTTTGCTATTCGGATTGATTCAGTTCACGGTTGGATTCTGAAATGGCGAGGCCCTGTGTTAGATGCTTAAGGAATATTCCGCTCCCCTCCTCTCCAAGTGGCGTGAAAGCAAAGGCCCAAGGTATGGGGGGAAATAGAGCGTGTGTAATACAGGGCGCACATCTTCCACTGCTTGAATGCAGCATTAAATCAATATTCTGCAAAGCTTTCTCTTGTTGTGTTATTCACTTGACTGCTGCCATGATGCACCATGTGGGTTGTGCAGTTGTTTTCTGATTTTTGTGACAATCTCTCTCTCTCTCTCTCTCTCTCTCTCTCTCTCTCTCTCTCTCTCTCTGTCTGTGTGTGTTTTTTTTCTATTCTGTGCCCTAATTTGGATTGCTTGCAGGCGTTATATGCACACAGCTCACCCTCTTTGCTTTGATAATTCCACAAAAAGAGAAGAAGCAGAAATTTTGGCTCATGACACGGCCTTCTTTTTCATTACGCATCTTGACGAAAGAGCTCAACCGACAGCTGATTATCCTGCGTTTGCTTTGACAGCCACTCGAATGGAGCTGCACCTGCTACTAGCAGCCTGTTTTTTTTGTTGTTTTTTTTTCTCTAGTAGGTATTTTCACTCTCAGAATTACGTGGTTGCTCAGCTTTGGACAGACTCCTCAACATGTGGTGTAAAAAGCTCTCCTGCCTTAGATGCGTTTACCAGAAGCCACTTTTGCATTTCCTTTCCAGAGACAAGCCTCATTGCATTGGCTCACGTTGCATCAGCTTATAGTCACTCAGAAAGACATCATTGAAGCTAGAACCCAACCCTATTGAAGCTGAAAGATCCCTCAGTAGGAAAATGGAGGCTTAATTTACACAATAGGTGGTTGGCAATCACATTCGGTGTTGATAAGATAAAAAAAAAGAAAAAGAATTGTTCAGTCTCCATTTTCAGTTAAAGGGGAATTACATCAATTTTTCGAAATTTCTGCATAATTAAATTGTTAAAATCATGAACAATATCATTCAGATGTGAAATGCTCCATTCTAGATAAACTTACCCACTCAGAATTGTTTACAACGGTGGTGATGGAAACCAGACGTCCGAATTGTTAGATGCCATCTCAAAAGTGACTCACAGAAAGCTATTGTGTGAAATGGTTACAAATATGCCGCCTGATGCCTGAGGCATTGTTTTATTTCAAAAACGGTTATTATTTCAAATTATTTTACCATCACATATATATATACTGAAATGAGCCTATACATGCTTTCTGAATATATATATCTATATATATATATATATATATAGATATATATATTCAGAAAGCATGTATAGGCTCATTTCAGTCATTTCAGTAAATAAATTGTCTATATTTGCACTTTAGATGACCCCTGTGTTCTATGGCCACCACTGTAAAGAAATCCAAGTCAGTTTAAATTCCTCTACAATGCACCATTTCACATCAAACCACTCTGAATGAATTGTTCACATCCTAGCGATTGAATTATGCAGATTTTTTTTTTAATCTTTGGAATTCCCCTTTGATAAATATAACCAAGTGTTGTTAACCGAAAACGAAATGTGTTTTCCAAGCAGATGTCACCATATACATATACTTCATTTGCGCTACTAGCAATCATCTCAATGCAGTAATATGTCAAAGCCTAAATGGCTGCCTCATTGTTTCCTCTTGTAGATTCAGAATTAAGACTTGTCAGTTTGGTGTCACAATATCCTGCTGCAGGTGCATGTGAGCAGTGGTTGGGGGAGGGGGGGTGTGGAGGAGGGGGGCATAATTCAAAAGTGGGAGAAGATCACTGGCAAAGTGTTTAGCTCAACACAAATGAGCAAAATCTTATCTTTGTTCCACTCCTATATTTAGACTGACGTTTTGCAGGGCTTAGCATAAATTGTAGAGCACGAAGACGATTTGGTGAGCAGTTAATGCACAATGATTTAAGTCTAATTTTAGTCTCAGCAGTGGTGCAAAAATAGGAAAAAAATGAGGCCTGCATCCTGAAGTGGGCTTCAATATGTCTGTGCTGATTTTTCCATATTTTTTACTGACAGCATTTTACCTACTTAGTTAATCGACGATTAGCATGTTTGAATAAATTACAGCTACGTATTTATGAATATTGATGTCTGATCAGTTGGTGTGTGGGTGAGGGATGGAGAGTGGGTGGTTGGGTGTCTAGTAGGAGGCATTAGCTTTAGCATATGCATATGAGCATGTACATTTATCACTTCCATTATATAGATGAGTGTGATACTGTACGTTCCAATACAGTTTGAGCTGAGTGCAGCGGAGGAGGTAGGTGCCAAACAAGAAGGGTATCTGCTGCCATGTTCCAGTTTCATTTAGAAGAGAGAAAATTCTGCTTCGCAAATATCATTCTCACTCTGATTTCCATGGAAACATGACACAGTGACAGATGATAGCCTTGTTTTCTTGCTGGTGTAAAAAAGCATACTATAGCCTCAATCTTAGGCAAGAATTACAGTGACATAAATCCAAAATCACAAAAATATTTACTTTCTTGCTAGCTGCCTTGCCAATTTACTACTAAAAGTTTTGCTAATTTCTTATGCCAATGCTTTAAACTTCAGGCTTGTTCTTCAGCTATTAATCTAAATTCAACTTAGTATATTCAACTCATTATTGATTATTCTTTTTTTTCAGTAAGTACTATGAAACTTGTGTGCGAGTTCTGAGAGTGAGCAATTAAAGTGTGGGCCCGTAAAACGTCTCTTAGAGTTTAAGGGGTTAAACCTATGACCCCCTACATATGTCATTTTTTTGTTTTTTGGTGCAAGAATGGATTAAATCATGAAAAAAAGAACCTAGGGAGTCTTATTAGTTATTAAACTTAAGACGTATTATTCAGTAAGTACTGTTAATGTTCATGTAAATGTTCTTTAGTTATGAGAGTGAAACATTGAAGTGTGATACCACATACACTCTCTTAGGCTGCAAAGTGTTAAACGTTTAGCTCCTACACATTTAATTTGGTAAAAATACATTCAGATTTAAAAAAATGAACCCAAGGACTTTTCTTAGTTTAAGCCCAGTTCAACTGCAGGCTTACTATTCACTTATTAACCTTAAGACTTATTATTCAGTGACTACTTTAAATGACTTGGTAATTACTATGAAACTAACAGCTAAGTTATTTAGTTATGAGAGTTACAAAATTTAAGTGTGGTCCCACATACAGTCTCTTAGACTTTAAAGGGTTAAACATATGGCTTCTATAAATGTAAAAAATGTAAATCTTCACAGTTTAAGCCCTTTAACTGCAGGCTTATTATTTAGTTGTTCCATCCATCCATCCATCATCTAAACCGCTTATCCTTCTGGGTCGCGGTGGGGTGCTGGAGCCTATCCCAGCTGTCATTGGGCGGAAGGCAGGATACACCCTGGACAGGTCGCCAGTCCGTCGCAGGGCAGACAGACAAACATACACATTCAATTCAGGCAATTTTAGCACGTCCAGTTGGCCTGACTGCATGTTTTTGGACTGTGGGAGGAAACCGGAGTACCCGGAGGAAACCCACGCAGACACGGGGAGAACATGCAAACTCCGCACAGAAACGACCCTGGTCGCCCGGCTGGGAATCGAACCCAGGCCCTTCTTGCTGTGAGGCAACAGCGCTACCCACTGCGCCACCGTGCCACCCTATTTAGTTGTTAATCTTAAGAATTATTATTGAATAACTAATATAAAAGATGTAGTTATGAGAGTGAAGAATTGAAGGTC